AAAAATTCAAGCCGTATCCGGTTCCTCCTTCCAAAATAAAATCTTCCCTCGGGAGTTAAAAACACACAGAGGCTTAGCCTCAGGTTGAGACCACCGACAGGTGTGCCGGGTCCCTGGCTGTAAAGTCTTCCCTAGTTAGCTCATGGGATCAGACTTTAAGCCAAACTGGGGTTTCTCTGGAGAGAATCCCAGCTGTCTTCCTAGGTTGGAATCAGGAAGAAGAGTGTGTCGCTCAAAGCCGTCCGGGTTAGTAAAAGAAACGGACGAACTTTGGTTCCGCCCTCAGGSTTAGAGATGAGTCAGAGAAAGAAAGATAAAGATTTGCTAACCGGCGCCAGCCCAAGGTTAAAGTTCTATGGTTGTTAACAACATGATATGATAACCTCTTTTCAGCTTTCTTCTGATAGACTCTAAGAGAAATCACTGCAAAACATTTATCATGATTAATTAACATTTCTGTTTTATAATCAGTTATGAACCTTCTCTAGTCCAGATAAATGAAAGATTTTCTCAGGAAAAATCCACAATTATATTACTGTGTTCACAGTAAAATAAAAACAGTGATTTACATAAAACACAATGAAAACATTGTAATTAGATTCTCTGTGATTTTTTTATACCATAAGGCACGATAAAAGAAAAGAAGTGGTTCCACTTTTCCTGTGACAGTCCTTATCATGATTTAACAAATGGATAAACATTCTTAGTTAAACAACAAATGAATCACGAACAGAAGAGATTGTTCTGTCCATTATCTGATTAAGAGAACTGAGGGGTTCTCTTTCACGGTTGGAATGACCTGTCATGGTCTAAATAGAGTTCAGTTTGTGACAGAGTTCCTGTCCTCTCGTCAGGCCTGTCCGAGGCCTGCTTCGAGGCACTAAATCTTGTTCCTTCACTCGAGGTGACCCCTACACTGTGATCATGAAGCCGCTGCATGATCAGAGCATGAGCAAGCTGGTCATAAACGGGTGATTTTTATTATTATTATTATTATTATTATTATTATTGTTATTATTATTATTATTATTATTGTGTGTGTATTCACCCCAGTAAACATTAGCCTTTTCAGAGACCGGTCATGTAAACAGGGCCAGAGACAAGAGTAACGTCTTATCAGCGTCTTATCGTGCACGTGCTGCTCACACACTTCCCCACGCACATCAAGCCGGTGTGCTGCAGCTGTGCTGATGGTGGAGAAACAAGCTAACGTTAGGCTTTGTTAAAGTTCTGAAAAACTGTCTGCCATCGTCGGTGGCCCAGCTTCAAACAGCTGTAAACAAAAAGCTACAAACAGAAGAGAATTATTGTTATCGCACAGTGCATTGCATGACGTGAGCCACCATGTGCACCTGATTTTTCTCCTTCTCTTCAGCATTTTCTTTTTGATGCCGTACGTTACGGGTCCAGAGGGTTTTGCTGGCCCGGGACCCAAAAGATTTTCAGTGCACTCCAATGCAGCCTCCATTCTTCAGCAAAAGCAAATAAAAATGCCTTTTTGCATTGGATTAGTCTTATCACAGGACCTTGGAGTTTAGTTAAATATATGGTAGTAGGTAATTTGCGGGGGAATTTTTACTTCACAAATTACTGACACACGGGACTAACAACACAGAAAATCTCCACAATTTACTCTTTGTTTTTGACGTATTTACAAAATTCCAGTGCAGCTGGGATCATAAACAGATTACTGACTAACGCTGACCTGCTGAGTCCCTCTGGGAGTTGTTTTGTAACATTGCCTAATTAATATTTGAGACGATAGCCGTGGCGTGATGGCGAGTGCTGCACCATGACACACATAAGCACACAAGACTCAGATACAATAGACCTGCCACTGTCTCACTGCCATCCCTAAATGGCTTCTTTACACCAAGGAAATGCACAGGTTTACTAACTGTGTTCAAACATTAACATTTTTTGTTCTTTCAGGTGTTTGTAAAAATACTCACAGCTTAACCATAAGATTTGCCTTTGTCCACATGTTCAACCAGGTATCTAATATGGTGGTACAAGAAGACCCAAGTGGAGAAGAAGGCTCCGTTCATCGACATGTTTCGTGCCCAGCCTTTGCGTCAAATATACGGTGAGTGCAGTTCTTCCTTGTAATAAGAGAATGTTCTTATTGTAACATTTTATACTGGGATTTAAAGGGATCTCTGACTTCTTGCACATGTTGGCCTTGATATGTTATTTCTCTATTTTATTAAAAGTTGTTGTTTGTGACACATGAAAACATCTAATTACGTTAAAAAATTGTCTGTTACATTTTTCACTTAAGGTAGTCGTCATTTTGTTACTGATGCAATGTGTTCTGGGGATGATGATGATGGGTTGTAATTGAGAGACTAAAACACAAAGTAACTAAAACACTACAATAATGTGTGAGAATATATTTTGTATAATAATTATATATTTATATAAAATATAAATATTATATATAATATTTTGTATTCGTTTCTATGTTCTGCACAATGAATGGATTGAAACAGTCAAACATGTTTACTAAAGTAGCTCTGGAGCTTACAACTTATATTAGTATATGTGTATGTTATATATAATTAATAATATATGTGTGGTACAAGCTCCAGAGATGATATTATTAGCTCTGGGGCTAACACCATCATGTACGGTATATATTAGCTCTGTTGCTAACTTGAAAGCTAACAGGCTAAAGCTAAGCCTCTCTTTCCATGAAGCAGCTTTGTTGTCCCCCATCATTTAATTAATTAATTAATTAATTCTCCATCCACATTTTCAGTGTTAGGCTGAGTCATTTCTACTTTCCCCTCTCTGTCAGTGAGCTCCGGTTTAATTTAAAAAGGCTGAACGTCAGATATTGTCCAAAATTAGCATTGAAGATGGACAGAGCAAGAGAGCACATAGAAAGTGTCATCTACCCAGAATGCTTTGTGACATAAATAACATGGCGACTTCCATGTGACAATATATTTTTTATTTATAAATACTAAACACCTTATAGTATTTCTACAGTCCTTTTTTGTTATAGTTTATCAAATAATATCTAACGATTCAACTTGTCACCAAATCAGTCCATTTTTTATTTATTATAGTACATTTTACCCCAAATGTTATCAAGTGTGATTTGTGTGAACAAATTAAGACTTTCCTGCCTTGCAGATTTGATGCATCTGTTAAAGAACTCGTAATTTCTCGATCTGCAGGAGCTCCACTCGGTGGGATTGGAGGCGGGACCATTACGAGGGGCTGGAGGGGGGAGTTCTGCAGATGGCAACTTAACCCTGGAATGTATCACTTCAAAACCGTCATAGCCAACCAGGTAACTGATCCCTTCATGGAATAAATTCCTCTGTGGAAAAACAAAATAATAAGGGTTTATATGCAGAGCAAGGTTATAATAGTTTTGGATTTTTCATTATTTTATTTTGTTGTGACTTTTGCCTTTTACTTCAGTTAGTTTTAATTAGTTTTTACAGTGGATTTGCTAGTTTTTATTAGTTATTATTGCATTTTTAATGCTTGGTTTTAGTTTAGTTTAGTTTTTATTAGTTCTAGTAGTTTTTTTTATAGTTTATTTGCCAATGCATCCTCAAGCTTGTGATGTTCCTGTGAGTTAACTAACCAGCAGCTATTTGGTCACTAGTTAAATCGTCCATTATAGCGACACCTTCCTAAAATAATTGTGTAACTCTATTTTCCCAACTAAGGACTTGGGCGATTATTTTAGGACAATGATAATAGTTGTTTCCAACCCGGTGCTACCTGTTGCTTGTTTTTCACAGGAGCTACTGAGAGAAGCTAGTGTGTCAGACAGTCATAGTTAGCCATCTTGTGTGAGCTTGATTCATGCAGTTTTTCCCTTGAGAARTATTCCACCTGTTTTATCACCTGTTTCCACTACAAGACACTTCTCCCAACTTTTGCTGTTGTCATTTGGCAGACGATGCTGAGCAGCAGCAGACTGTAAACAAATGCTACGGCCCACAGCTAATGTAAACTATAAACTACTCAATTTGAAATAAAAGAAAAAAGATCCACATGGCTCAAAATAAATTGACAAACACTAAATCTAAGGATATTTTATCTATAATTTCATTTATTTTTAGTTAGTTTTGTAAAAAGGTTATACAGTTTTAGTTAATTGTTTTTTCGTTTTTTTAACATTTTTTATTTATGTCAGTTCACTAAAATGTTTTTTTCAATTTTCATTTTTTGTTATTTAGTTAGTTTTAGTTAACTATAATAACCCTGATGCAGAATAGCCAAAATTATAAAACTACTGATGGTTGATAGGATTTATTTACTTATTTGTCCTGAAAGAGTGATTGTCAACTGATGGCTCCACGGCCAAATGTGGTCAAAGATCTCATTCCATTCGGCCCGTGAAGGATCAAATTATTAATCCGTGACGTGCAATTTGACATGGAAATAAGATGTGGCCCAGATCAACAAGGGCTGGTCGCTGTTCACAAACCTCATGACCTGGTTTGTGAATGATCTCATATTATAGTAGTGCTGAACTGTGCCTGAGGCTGGTTCGCTCAGCAGGATGAAGGATATGCTTGAGAGATAAGGGATTTTTCTACTAAAGAAGCTCCAGTGCTTCGATAATGCCACTCACCAACAATCGCAGCCCAGTTAAACACAGGCTTTAGCTTGCTCAAGGCCCCATCACACTGACGTTTTAGACATGAATAAATATGTTTTGATAACCTATTTTGGGTAATTATCTGTTTTTATGATTAAACTGTGATTTAGTTGATGTGCAATCTGTTTTTGTGTGGCTTATGCCAGGGGTTCTTAACCTTTTTGACCTCGGGGCCCAATTTGTTCAACATAAAGTGACACGAGGCCCAGTCACACATTACCAATGTATGGATCAAAATGATAATTATTCTGAATCTTGGTTTAAAATTATAATTATTCTAAATCTTGGTTTAATTTGTATTGTATTTGCATTATAACTAAATAAAATACACTTACAGTTTAAAAGTAAAACTGTCAAATAATCAAAATACATGAACACAAACATATTTTTAAAATTGTAACCTGCCCATAACAATTATTTGAACAAATACAACAGTCATTCAACAGACCACTTAGGCTTATCAACACCAAAATAACCCATCCATCCATTTTCTGTACACGCTTATTCCTTTCAGGGTCCCATGGGTCACTGGTGCCCATATCC